ATATTCAGAGAAACATATTTATAAAGGTTATATACCTAGAGTCCTGAACTTTTATATCCTAGTCGTATTTATTAATATTTAGCAGGATATGAATGTACTTTAAACTAAAGAAAAGTTAGATCGGGGTTAATCCCGTGTATTTCATTCGACAAATTCTCTGTAAATAATATTAAAAAATTGTCTGGTTCAGAATATTTAAAAAAATTTTTTCGAAATTAGCGAATTTTTAAAAAGAAATTAAATGTAACTTAGTATAAATTTTCGGTATAATTAACCAGGAAATTTTAGTTAAAAAAACCTAAGGGGTTTGAATTAAATGATTATTAATTATATTCAGAGAAACATATTTATAATTGTTATATAACTAAAGTCCTAAATTTTTATATCCTAGATGTATTTATTAAGATTTAGCAGGATATGAATGTACTTTAATCTAAGGTAATGTTAGATCGGGTTTAATCGTTCTAGTGCATATTTATTAAGTTTATGAGTTTAGTTAAATGCGTATTCCACATTAATTTAAAGGAGACCCGTTTAACCCGATTACGGTGTAGCATCCAACTTGGTCCTAAAATGCATATATACACACATATACTTTCTTCACCCATAATGCATACACTACAACAAGAATAGTCATAATGGACATATCACTGGTAGACAGAAGTAACCAACATAATAAAAAACAACATAATAAAAAATCCATAACATGCATGGCTAACAATAATTTTAGTTAGTACCATATATTCGCATATTCCCATATATATATATATATATATATATATATATATATATATATATATATATATATAATAAAAAGCCTTAAACACTAATATTTCATGGTTATAATTTATTACATTGGAATCGTAATCACGATCCAATTCATCAGACCTACAAATTCAAAAAGAAATCAGAAAAAGATATATATATATATATATATATATATATATATATATATATATATATATAAATTTAAGCACAAATTACAGATCAATAAACCTATCAGTATTCATCCGTCCATATACACATATACACACATACATATACACATATATATGTATATATATACGCATACATCGATGTATTTCTATCTAAACAATACTGTTACAAACGCACCTTGATGTATCAAGAAACCAAAATATATCCATACAAAAATACACTAAACACACACACACATATATATGCACACACATATTCATTTTTTCACAAGGAAATCCATATCTAATTAACTATACATATTACAATATATATATATATATATATATATATATATATATATACACGTCACAACCATAAATGTCAAATTGCAATAAATATCTCTATGTGAACACATACTATAACACTAAAGTAATGTCGTTACAGATAGGAATTTATATAATCCAGGAGAAAGGGTACTTTTCTGTTTTTTAAAGCGGTGTTTGTGTCTGCATTTTGATATGAGTTCACTTCGAAGGTTAAGTAAATTCTCTCAGTTTTTATATTTAATTATAAGTATTTTTCCAGCAGACAAAGGTTAGAACGGTCCCTGAATTTCTGAGGAGTTTGAGCTCTGGATATGAATTTCCACTTCAACTGCGGTGTGAGACCTTATATATGAGTAAAAGTTCGTCACTTAGCTGATTGATATTACCTTCAGCATTACGACTCCAGAGTTTCGTAGATCGACATGTCCGTTCACTCTTCAGTGGGAATCAGCAATGTGTGTGTGCATGTATTTATATATGTGCTTATGACTTTATAAGTGCGTGTGTATGCGGCAAGAGAGAGAAATAGGCGGGAAAACGATGAACCGAAAGAATTAATATAAAATAATTGAACATTTTTTTTATTAAAGATATTTTCAAAATCTTATGAAAAATACTTCCGTAGGTGAGCGCGCGCATTTTTGCACTTGTGCTTGTTTGTACGTGCCTGTGTGAACAACTGCGCGTGTTTACGTGTGCCTGTGCGTGCGTGTATATGTGTGTACAAGTGCGTGTGTGTTTTGGCGCGTGTGCTTGTACGTGTGTGTGTAACTGCGCCTGTCTGTAAGTGTGTCACGTGATTGTCAAGACCTCATTCCGTTCTTCCTGTAAAAAGGGAGGTAATCACTTTCTACATCCATACTATTTCATAAATACTTTGAAACATCTTTTCAGATTTTTAGTTGCGATATATACGTTAAAAATAATTACAAAAAGAAAAAAAAGAAAGAAAGAAATTATGGCCCGCTGACGAGTGTTTTACTGCAAGACATCGCATTGATTTTTTATAAAAGTCAATGTATAATATGTCCAGAGTTTGATCAAGTCACCCTCTAAATTAATGGAATATCCGCTGGAGTTTCGTTACTTCCGGCTGAGAATTTTTATGAGTTTTTCTGAGGATACTTAAAAGGTGATGAAATACTCAGTTATGACTCAATAGCCATGAAGTTTTCAGGATTTAATGATTGTATAATGATGAAGAGATTTGAAGCAAGAGAAATGTGGTTCTGAAGAAGAAGAAGAAGAAGAAGAAGAAGAAGAAGAAGAAGAAGAATAGGAGAAGAATAGGAGAAGACGAGGAAGAAGAAGAGGAAGAAGAAGAAGAGGGAGAGGAGGAGGAATAAGAAGAAGAGAAGGAGGGGTGGAAGAATAGAATAGGAGAAGAAGCGGTAGAAGAAGAGGAGGAGGAGAAAGAAGAAGAAGAGGGTGAAGAAGAAGATGAAGAAGAAGAGGAGGAGGAGGAGGAAGAAGAATAAGAAAAAGGAGGAATAGAATAGGAGAAGAAGAGGAAGAAGAGGACGAGGAGGAGAAAGAAGAAGAGGAGGAGGAGAAAGAAGAAGAAGAAGGTGAAGAAGAATAGGAGAAGAGGAGGAAGAGGAGGAAGAGGAGGAGAAGAAGAAGAAGAAGAAGAGGAAGAACTTTTTTTGCGATTTTACCGACTATAAAATACACGTGGACATGCCACCGTTGCATTATTAAATATTTGAGTTTAACAATTTTTAAGAACCATTTATAATATATATATATATATATATATATATATATATATATATATATATATATATATATGTGTTTACTGTATGTTTACCTATATAGGGCGTCTTAGAAATGACTATTTCGAGAAGCAATTGGAATTATGAAAAAAACATATTTAGATATGAATAGATCCCGTTTTCACGAACAGGATTGCCTGTTGGACATCGATTAAGAAACATCCTTTCAAATTTGTCTCCGCACTTCGATCCTTTCTGTTTGCCTTGTTTCGACAAACACTCGTTCTTCTGTGTTCATCTTCAGTTATAATAGCTCCGAAAAAGAAAAGGAAAAAATACACAAAAATCGGCATGAACCAATTAATATTTTGTAAAGAAAAATATATGCATGAATGATAAAAACGTTTGTGATAGTGGAACGGTTTTTTGAAAAAATTTGGATTTTGCTTAAATAGAGAGCAGCTTTGAAGATACCCTGTATTTACATTTTATTCTAAATAACAAATGCATTATTCCAAAAGTTTGATTTTTACAAGATAAATTTATATATATATATATATATATATATATATATATATATATATATATATATAATTATTTTTTAAAAAAAAAAAATGTATAATATAAGTATGTTATAAAATCACTACAAAATAGCCATTTTGTTTCAACACACTCTGTGTCTTATCAAGTGATGATGTTGAAAATAAAATAAATGGTTTTTATATATATATATATATATATATATATATATATATATATATATATATATATATACATTTTATTCCAAATAACAAATGCATTATTCCAAAAGTTTGATTTTTTACAAGATAAATTATATATATATATATATATATATATATATATATATATAAATTTTATTCCAAATAACAAATGCATTATTCCAAAAGTTAGATTTTACAAGATAAATTTATATATATATATATATATATACATTTTATTCAAATAACAAATGCATTATTCCAAAAGTTAGATTTTTACACGATAAATTTATATATATATATATATATATATATATATATATATATATATATATATATATATATATATATATGCAAACATATATATATATATATATGTATGTATATATATATATATATATATATATATATATATATATATATATATATATATAAAACAAATGTGTCAAAAAGTATACTTTTTATAAACCATTAGGCTAACATTTCTTTGAATACAATTTTCTTCGCAATAGTTAATCCTCTTCTCTCTTTTTCTAACTTCATCCACACTGCATTTCTAATATCTTTTTCATCTGTCTTGAAATCAAAACGAAATAGCACTTTATTTATTTCAGGTAAATGCAGGCCGTATAATGCGTGTTCCTATTTTAATGGAGATTTTCTTCTATTATTTCATTGATGAAATATTATCGCATATTTTGTTTAAAAATAAATTTCTAACAATCTTTCTCTATTTATTATTCTTTCTTTCTTTACTTAATTATTTTTCTTTCTTTATTATTTTTCATTCTTTACTCATTTTTTGTTTCTTTATTTACTTATTTATCTTTCTTTATATATCTTTCTTTCTTCATTTATTTATTTTTCTTTCCTTCTTTACTTAATAATTTATCCTTCTTTCTTGCTTCTGTTTTTATTTACTTATTCCTCTTTCTTTCTTTCCATATTTATTTTTCTTTCTTTACTTTCTTTATTTTTCTTTCTTTTTTCTTTCTTTTGTTATTTTAGTTTATCTTTCTTTCTTGTTTATCTATTTTCTTTACTTATCGTTGTTCCCTTATTTATCTTTCTTTCTTTCTTTTTATCATTATCATATAAGCTTTCTTTTTGGCACTAAAACGATATATATCCTCCCATATAGATTTTTCTTCTTTCTTTCTTCGAAATTAAAACGGAATGGTTCATTATTTATTTGAGAAAACGACACGCTGTATAATGAATCGTTCTATTTTAATGGACATTTTATTCCATTATTATTTTATTGATGAAATATTATCGCATTTCTTTTGTTTAAAATAACTTTCCAACAATCTTGTTGTCAAAATATGCATTCATTCTTTCTTTTTTATTTTTATTTCTCTTTTCTTTACTTTACTTCTTTTTTCTTTTTATTTTATATTTATTTTCTTTCTTTTCTTCCTCCTTTCTTTTCTTTTCTTTCTTTCTTTCTTTCTTTTCATTTCTTTATTTTTTTTTTCTTTTTATTCTATTTTATTTTCTTTTCTTTTTTTCTTCTTTCTTTTTTTTTTTTTTTCTTTTCTTTCTTTCTTTGTTTATTTATTTTTCTTTTTTTTTTTTCTTCCTCCTTTTTTCTTTCTTTTTTTTTCTTTCTTTTTTATTTTATTTATTTTCTTTCCTTTTTCCTTTACTTTTTTTTGTTTGTTTGTTTGTTTGTTTGTTTGTTTGTTTGTTTCTTTCTTTCTTTCTTTCTTTCTTTATTTCTTTCTACATTATATTTATTTTCTTACTTTTCTTCCTCCTCTCTTTCCTTTTCTTTCTTTTTTTCTTTTTTTCTACATTATATTTATTTTCTTTCTTTTCTTCCTCCTTACTTTTCTTTTCTTTCTTTCTTTCTTTCTTTCTTTCTTTCTATATTATATTTATTTTCTTTCTTTTCTTCCCCCCTTTTTACTTTTCTTTTCTTTCTTTCTTTTTCTTTCTCCTTCATTTTCTTTTTTTCTATTCTTTCTTTATTTTTTCGTTTTTCTATATTATATTTCTTTTCTTTCTTTTCTTTTTTCCTCTTTTGTTTTGTTTTGTTTTCTTTCTTTGTTTCTTTTCTTTCTTTCTGTCTTCTTTCTTTCCTTTATTTTCTTTCGTTTTTCTATATTATATTTATTTTCATTCTTTTCTTTCTCATTTCTTTTCTTCTCTTTTCTTTTTTCTTTTCTTCCTTCCTTTCTTTCTTTTCTTTTCTTTGTTCGGTTGTTTCTTTCTTTCTATATTATGTTTTCTTTCTTTTATTTTCTTTCTTTCTATATTTTCTTTTTTTTCCTTTTCTTTCTTTCTCCTGTCTTTTCTTTCTTTCTGTTCTTTCTTTTCTTTCCTTTCTTTTCATCTCTTTTCTTTTCTTTCTTTCTTTCTTTCTTTCTTTCTTTCTTTCTTTCTTTCTTTCTTTCTTTCTTTCTATACTTTTTCTTTCTTTTCTTTTCTTTCTTTTCTTTCTCCTTTCTTTTCTTTCTTTCTCTTCTTTCTTTTCTTTCTTTTTTCATCTCTTTCCATTCTTTTTTTCTTTTTTCTTTCTTTCATTCTTTCTTTCTTTCTTTCTTTCTTATTATATCTATTTTCTCATTCTCAGTAAAAAGAGATAAATCCTTCCATATATCTATTCCTTCTGTCTTTCTTCGCCTTCAAAACGGAGTGTTCAATTATTTATCAGAGGTCATCATGGACGCGCGAAAGGAGGAACACGTTGAATTTTTAAAATGATAACGAAACTCTTTCAACTGCTTTGCTCAAGAAAAGTACCTAATGTAATTCTAGAAAAACTGCCGCGTGAGAAATTTGAATGCGCCATGAAAAACTTTCTCACAAACTGAGCGTGTGAAAGCCAAAAAAAGTAAACTCATAATTGCAAGCTGAAATCGATTAAAGAGCCCGTTGTTTGGAGCGTAATATTTTATCCTTTGAGAAATAAATGTCCTAATGCTTTCTGCATATCATTTACAATCAAGGAAGACATTTTCTCAAAGAGCTCTTCCAGAGTGAATTTCAAAATGAAAACGCCATAATAGAACCTAAACTATTTTCTTATAATAACAGATTTACATTTGTTTCTATTAATCACCACAGATATCCTTCCCTGCCCTCCATTAGAATGTCTGACGCTCAACTTCTCGAGAGCACTGCGGCTGCTCGGTCTCACGTTGACGTGCTGACCTGAGATGGAACAAATACATTGAGTCAATTGCTTCGTCCACCGCAAAGAAAAGTTGGCTCCCTGTGCCGCGCCAGGAAATTTTTCTCCTCGGAATCGATCCTTCAGATCTACAAATCAACAATTCGCCCTTGCATGGAGTATTGCTGCCATATAAGGTCTGGGGCTCCTTCTGTTTGCCTCGGGGTTCTTGATAAGCTCCAGAGGCGGATATGCAATATAATTGGCCCTTTTCTGGCATCTCGTCTACAGTCACTTTCTCACAGAGGCGCCGTCGCCTCTCTCTGTCTTTTTTACAAATACTTTCAAGGTAATTGCTCCCGGGAGCTGCATTCGCTGGTTCCCAGGCTTGATGAATTCAAGCGCCCTACGAGACTGGCATTACGCTCTCACATTTTGTCGGAACTTTTAAATGTAGCCGTCTCTTCTTCTCCAATAGCTTCATATCTCGAACCTCTCGCCTGTGGAACTCCCTTCCCTATTCCAGTTTCCCTGAGAGGTATAATCTCCAACTATTCAAATGTAATGTCAATCGATATCTCCAGTTGCCTTGATCTATCCACTATCCCTCTCCTCATCCTTTCCTCTATCACTCCTATCTGATCTTGCTCCAAATCTTCTGTAACCCCTAGTGGCTTCCCGTCTTGCTTGGGGTGAAACGCTTTAAAAAAAAAAAAAAAATAAATAAGTGGTGAGAATATCAAAACCATTAACTACGCCAAAAGAAAATTTATTCTTTGAATTGAAACTTTGTTTTTGTCTTTTGTGGCTTGATTTGAGGAAACATTTTGAAGAATTCCGACAAATGTTCGCCCGACATGAGCACAAATAAACATTCAGGTGATGTGATAGAAAGACTTACTCGCACGAATGTGTCTGTATCTACAAGTATCTGTTGCAAAATTATCGAGACGTCAGGGATCAACATCTATAAAGGTGCATTCTGTCTACTTCCGTCATTTAGGTCTAGCTCGTTCGTGAACCCAAACGAGCATTTATGGAACGTGTGGAGAGGCATATTTGCACCTACAAATATCAACAATTTTCAAAACGTCAGGTATGAACATCTCCGAGGAAACATTTCATCTACCCCTCTCCGTAAGGGTTAGGTGTATTTCACCCATGAGACGAATGAATTATTTATGGAAAGTGATGGAGAAGTCTATAGGCACTCAAGTTTCTGCACCTACACATATCAGAAACTAGTTTAGAATTAGCGAGATAGCAGGGATCAACATCTCTAAAGGAGCCTTCCGACCTCTTCCGTGTGTTAGGATTAGCGTTGGTGTACCCATAAGACTAATGACTCATTTATGGCTTTAAATAACCTACAAAAGGTTGATAAACCGTACAAAATAAATACAACTGCAGAGTTCATAACGCTTACTATATTTTACAAGCGTGCGCAACACTAATTTTTAGGAGATTCAAAAGGGGGCCTTCGACCTCTCGTGTTGGTTAGGGTTAGGTTCCTTTCGCCCATGAGCTGTATGCGTCATTTAAGGGAGGTAGTGATGACCTTTATACACACGCAAGATTCGGAACCTACAAATATCAGAGAGCTGTTAAGAATTAGCGAGATTTCCCTGATAGGGATCCGACCAGCCCTGTTAGGGATAGGGACTTCCATGACCATTTATGTCGTGGTAGAGAGGTTACGAAGGGGTTTCTGTGCCCATGAGCTTCCGATAAATTATTTATGTCAATTCGTGGTAAATTATTCTATACGTGGAACTATACGAAAAAAGTTTCTGTGTCTACAAATATATGAGTCTTCCGACAACTCGCATCAATTAGAGTTAGTGTCAATTCGCTCATGAGCCTAATAAATTATTTATGTCACGTGGTAGAGAGGTCTATACGAACTAAAGTTTCTGTGAGGTCTCCGACAACTCGAATTAAAAGTCAATTTCTGTGTCTACTATACGAAAAAGTTTCTGTGTCTACAAATATATGAGTCTTCCGACAACTCGCATCAATTAGAGTTAGTGTCAATTCGCTATACGAACTAAAGCCTAATAAATTACAACTGTCAGAGTTGGTCAATTATATGAAATAAAATTTTTCGTGGTAGAGAGGTCTATACGAAATATATGAGTCTACAAATATATGAGTCTTAAAGACAACTCGCATCAATTAGAGTTAGTGTCAATTCGCTCATGAGCCTAATAAATTATTTATGTCACGTGGTAAAGGTTCAAATATACGAACAATTAGAAAGTGTCAATTTCATGAGCCTAATAAATTATTTATGTCACGTGGTAGAGAGGTCTATACGAACTAAAGTTTCTGCACCTACAAATATCAGAAATTAGTTTAGAATTAGCGAGACAGCAAGGATCAACATCTCGAAAGGCGCCTTCCGACCTCTTCCGTCTGCTAGAGTTAGCGTTAGTGTACCCATGAGACTAATGAATTATTTATGGAAAGTGATGGAGAGGTCTATACGTACTCAAGTTTCTGCACCTACAAATATCAGATACATCTCTAAAGGCGCCTAGGGTTAGGGTCAGTTTGCCCATGAGCCTAATAAATTATTTATGTCACGTGGTAGAGAGCTCTGTACGTACTCATGTTTCTGTGTCTACAAATATATGAGTCTTCCGACAACTCACATCAATTAGTGTTAGTGTCAGTTCACGCATGAGCCAAATGAATCATTTACGGGACGTGGGACGGAAGTCTATACAGACGCACGATTTTGCATCTACAAATATCAGAAAGCTGTTGACAATTATACACACGACAGGGATCAACATCTCTAAATCCGTCCTCCGACCACGACCGTCGATTAGGGTTTGGGTCAGTTCACCCATGTGCCAAATAAATCCTTTATGAGACGTGGTGGAGAGGTATATATATATTATGTCTTTAAATTCCTTGAGGAACATAGGACTGCAAGATATCTTTGCGGTTTCTATAATAAGCCATTTTTTTAAGTGAGTAGGTTTTTAGCCTACTGCACAAACCCCAATCTGAGCGTCAGATTTTGAGTTTAAAGTTCTCCTTCTCCTAGACTAGTTGCCACTCAAGCCTATAGAACCCGGTCTGTCCTGCTCTTTACTCATAGCTAGAAGGAGGGGTGAAGAAGAGAATTTAGAACTTTCCCAAAGGTTATTAGCACGTAAGTGAATGCAATCGATTCGACTCAATCTAAACAGCTATCCATTGCTCCACGGTGCCTCCTGCAAAATTCTGCACCTACAAATACCAGAGAGATGTTGACAATTATTAAAACAGCAAGGCTACAATCAATCCAACGATAATTTGCGAAATCGTCTTTTTTTCTCGACTTAATCGGATTAGGCTGTTGGCAATATACAAGGCACACATTATAAAAATTAGCGTTACACATGTTGAGATATATAGTAAGCGTTGCGCAAGCTTGAAAGATATAGTAAGCGTTACGACGCTTGTGAGATATAAAGCGTTACGCACGCTTAAAAGATATAAATCGTTACGCACGCTTCAGAGCTATAGTAAGCCTTACGCACGCTTGAGTTATATAGAAGCGTTACGCACGCTTGAGAGATATAGTAAGCGTTACGACGCTTGTAAGATATAAAGAGTTACGCACGCTTAAGAGATATAAATCGTTACGCACGCTTCAGAGCTATAGTAAGCCTTACGCACGCTTGAGTTATATAGAAGCGTTACGCACGCTTGAGAGATATAAGCGTTGCGTCAAGCTTGAAAGATATAGTAAAATTCAAGACGCATGTCAGATATAAACAGTACGCACGCTTAAGAGTTATGGGAAGCGTTACGACGCAAGTGAGATATAAAGCGTTACGCACGTTTAAGAGATATAAATAGTTACGCACGCTTCAGAGCTATAGTAAGCCTTACGCACGCTTGAGATATACAGAAGCGTTACGCACGCTTCATAGATATAGTAAGGGCTACGACACTTTAGAGATAAAGTTAGCGTTACGCATGCTCCAGAGATATAGAAAGCGTAACGCTTACTATATCTCTCAAGGGTGACGACGCTTGAGAGATATTGTAAGCGTTACGACTCTTGTGAGATATAAAGCGTTACGCACGCTTAAAAGATATAAATCATTACGCACGGTTCAGAGCTACAGTAAGCGTTACGCACGCATATCAGATATAAAGCAGTATGCACGCTTGAGATATATAGTAAAAGTTACGCACGCATAAGAGATATAAAGCGTTACGCACGCTTCAGAGCTATAGTAAGCGTTACGCATGCTTGAGTTATATAGTAAGCGTTACGCACGCTTGAGTGATATGGTAAGCGTTACGACGCTTGTAATATATAAAGCGTTATGCACGCTTAAGAGATATAAATCGTTACGCACGCTTCAGGGCTATAGTAAGACTTACGCACGCTTGAGATATATAGAAGCGTTACTTACGCTTGAGAGATATAGTAAGCGTTGCGCAAGCTTAAGAGATATAAAGCGTTAC